TTGGATTTATTACTTGTAGGAGTATTTGTCTATGGCAGGAATCAATGGTAAAATACCATCTTTGAGATGCTCTAGAACAGTTATTTGGTGAGATATTTTAAAAATTGAAACGAAGACCTTGTTTATTCTTTAAGATCTATGAAGCGTACTAATTTCCTCCCGGTGCTGCAAATTAGCAAAAATTTGTAAATGTTTTTTCAATTAATAATTTATAATATCTTTATCTCTTTTATATTTGTAGACTGAATAATGAGTATAAATTAATTGTGAATATGAAATGAAAATGAATTTAATTTGAAAATATATATAACATACTAACTTCATTTAAAATGCATATCAGTTGTCCTGTTTTAGATTTGTATATAAAAACAGATAAACATTTGAATTTCAAACTTTAGATTTACTGTTATTTTTTAACAGATTAGTAGATTATTAATTGAAAAAACATTTATCAAACATTTTGTGAATAATGTAATCATCTTTTCTGTACATTTTGGTGTAATATTTACTGAAATATTCGGTCAGTAAGTGCTCCTATTTTGTAATTTACATCCGACTCATCAAAATTGACACCCCTTAGATATTTTGAGATTAACATATCATTTTAAAAATAAGTTTATTACATATCTCTGTTGATATAATAAAAAGTACTTTTCATAAAATCATTAATATTTTAATCTTCTGAGTAATACCTATGGAAAAGCTTACGGAAACACAAAATAGTATGAATTTCAAAATGTACTTTACGTATTATCAGGCCTTATATATAAAAACTGCTTTTAAACTGAATATAATAATAATACTTAAATACAGCGTCTTTGTAGAGGTCATACCTTTAGTTATGACTAACAGCTGACCAACTGACCAATACAGTACTGATTATTATACTAATGTATTAACGTTTGAACATACTTTTTACAAAACATTAGTTCATATTTTTAATGAGCAAATAAATAAAAAACCAAAATATTACACAAACCATAGAATTAGGAAAAAGTTAAAGAAAAACAAATCTATTCAATGGATAGCCCAACCAGAAGAATACCCGTCCCATTATGAACGTTATGTTTAGCACTGGTATTAGATTCACCAGAATTTTAGGCTCAATATATATGACACCAATTAATTGACTGATGAATAGTAGGAAGAACTGCTCGAAACTGTTTTGCAGAATATTCTTGGCTTTGAGGGTCAGGTGCTCGTAGTTAGCCGTGGGATCCATAGGCGGTGTGAAGGATCGGCTCCGCATAACATTCAATACACATATCATAAGCCATACGACACCGGGTATGGAGTTGTGCAGCACGTACTTGACTCGTGGCTCAAATTGATCTAGCTTATCGCTTGTTACGCCATAATATTTACCAAGATTGAGATTATTATTGAATACGGCGTGTATAATGAGTGAATCAATTAGAGCAATAATACCAGAATATATAGTGACCCTGATCACCCAATTCCTAGCATATTGTTTTTGTGGTTCAGTAAATTCAGTCATTTTTATGAGTTATTTATTTTTAAATTAAGTTTCAAAATTCATTCAATAAGGTTTGCGATGACATGGGAAAAGTTGTAATTTAAAAATGAATCTATTAATAAAATTCTGCTAAATAAATAGTTAGGTTGAATAGTTTTGTAGGTATCAGGTATGTTATAAAACACAATGTAATGAAGGTCGTTTTAAGTACATCAAGAGCTGATTTCAATATACATTAATAGGTAAGACAATGTTTAACTGTAAATATAAGTATTTAATATCATTTTAAAAATTAATTACTAATAAATTACTTTGATAATTGTTAATAAAGATTTAAAATACTTATAAAATTATAAATTTTATGTAACTGGAATAATCTAGTGGAAAAACATATTTAAGAAGCATTTAAACTTTTAAATATTTGCAATAAATATTTTTGTGGAAAGGTTTGACTTTTTTAAATCCTGAGGTGATCCTCGAGTTTCACTAAATCACAGCTCAATTCCCATAGTTTTCTGGCAGTCGTATCATCCCTGGCCTCGAGTACCAAATTATCGTCTCGACGACAGTTACTGTCAATAAAAATATATTTTAATTGCCAACTAATGTATTAAATACAAAAATTTGTAAAATATGTAAATTTTACAAAAAAAAATTCATGACAACTTACTCGTAGTAAAAACCGGACTCATTGTCCAGACTCTCATCCAATGCACAGTAGAGTGTGGTCTGGGATCCCATGAATGGATTCAGAAAGAAGTGCCTCTTAAACCAACTGTCCTCTGCTTGTCCTGTATGTCTCTGTAGGTCTGTACTGATAGCACCGGGATTAAGGCTATAGGCATTGATATCGAAAGGACTTTTCTTTAGCCTTTTAGCCAATTCTCTGGTGAACAACACATTCGCGAGTTTACTCTGAAAGTAGGCCATATCCTTGTCGTAATTCCCCTTCAGATTGATGTTTGCCATGTCTATTGTCCCGAACTTGTGGGCACCTGAGGCTACCGTCACTATACGAGCTCCCGGTACCTTTGACATCAGTGGTATTAAATGTAATGTCAGTAAAAAGTGACCTAAAAATTTAGAAAAATAATTAAGACTTCATTTACTCTATTAATAAATTAGTAGTTACTATATCCGTAAATAAATAGATTAAATAAAATACAGAAAATATTTGGAATTTTATAAATTAATTACAGAAGTGCAAAGTATGATTCAACTTCATGTTAATTGTAATAATTACCTAGATGATTGGTTCCAAACTGCATCTCAAACCCGTCCTCAGTCTGCCATTCAGGACACGTCATAACCCCTGCGTTATTGATAAGGATATCTATTTTGGACTCCAATTGAGACAACTCTTTGGCGAAATGGCGGACCGATTGAAGTGAAGACAAATCAAGTTTTAATAGTTTTATGTCTGCCTTTGGATTCAGTGCCACAATGTCTTTGACAGCCGTCTCTCCTTTGACGACATCCCGACACCCGATATATACCTGATATTCAAATATTAATTTTATAAACTATAAAACAACTTATTTTACACAAAAAAAGTTGCTAAATTGTAAACTAGACAAACCTTTGCTCCCCTAAGTGTCAGTTGGTATGCCGTTTCCTTTCCGATGCCAGTGTTAGCACCGGTCACCACAACTACCTTTCCATTCAACTGCTTATTAGTGGTGACAACACGCCTCCAACTCCGAGTGCCAGCTTAGCCAGATTCTGACAGTCTTCTTATTACTTCGCTTCTGAAGTAATAAAGACTCAAAAATTTGAACGCATAACAACCCGAAACCAAATACATTGACCCATTGCTGAGATAACTATGCCTAAAAATGACAATTTTTGACATTTAGGGAATTTTTTAAAATCAACGGAGTAAAATTTCGACAAACCTAGAAATTACTTTTCTAGGAATGACCTTGCGCATCATTTCCAAAAATCAGAACTTTAATATCTCTTATATTTTGTGATCTCAACATCCCATTCCCCATAACGTTCCCTTCACATCTGGATGGAAAGGGTCATATGGTTGTAATGGCCCCTAAAATAATAGTTGCAAAATTTTTTATTTTGTTCTAGCTCAATTCAAACATATATTTAATTTAAATAATCTAGTGTCAAGAGTTTTGGCGAGACTTTTATAATAAATGAGTGTTTTCTAGTTAAAAAATTATTAATTAGCTTATTTATTATTTTAATGCTATTAATCAATTATCTTATAAACTATTATATTTTTATACTTTTGTACATATCGGAAAAATTTTCATAATAAATCAATTAATGCACTCAAATGCAATTATTACATCACGAAATACTCTAAATAAGACAATTAAATTGTTACTGTAATTACAAATAATATAATTAAAGCATAATTAATGTAATTACTATTATCGATTTTTCTGGGATTAATATATTTATAAAAAGTGTTTTATATTGTTATTACATAAACGAAAAAAGTATATTTTTAAATTATTTTTATTTGATCTAGTTTACAAATTAATTCCAGTGCGAGTACTTTGTGGACAACTCTTTATTATTTTAATGCTATTAATCAATTATCTTATAAACTATTATATTTTTATACTTTTGTACATATCGGAAAAATTGCATAATAAATCAATTAATGCACTCAACTGCAATTATTACATCACGAAATACTGTAAATAAGACAATTAAATTGTTACTGTAATTACAAATAATATAATTAAAGCATAATTAATGTAATTACTATTATCGATTTTTCTGGGATTAATATATTTATAAAAAGTGTTTCATATTGTTATTACATTAAATAAGACAATTAAATTGTTACTGTAATTACAAATAATATAATTAAAGCATAATTAATGTAATTACTATTATCGATTTTTCTGGGATTAATATATTTATAAAAAGTGTTTTATATTGTTATTACAATTATTAGTATCACAACATTTTGTAGTAACTATTTGCATATATCAAGATTATTTTTATGCAGTAAAATATTATAGAATAAAAATGATGGCAAATATATTAACAAGGTGCAAAATATACTCGGAAAATGTTAACACAATTGGTAATTTTGATGCAAATTTGACACTGACAATTTTTCGCTGGAGGAAAGTATGCTGAGATAAATTTAATAAATAACGTTAAGTTTTCATAAATAACGTTTTGCTTTTCATCAAGAACATTTGTGCGTACGACCGGGTGATTATGGACGCAATTACTCCCAGATTTAACATAACATTAATTGTGCATGATAAATGGACTAATATTGAAGGTTATATGCGGGCTAATCAAGTAATGAAACGAGTACCTTTTATATTTTTAATTATATTTTTTAAATAATTAATATAATAATTATACAATTAATACAGAATATTGATATGGCTTTAAACCCATGGGGTTTAGTGGAAAGTCTCTATAAAATTGCTCAAGGAAAATGGTGTAATAGCGACTATAGCTTGGTAATTTTATCAGCAGGCTATTATGAACAGACTGACCTGTTTGTTATGATTAGAGGATTTACCTTGATTATATGGTTACTAATACTACTTATGATAATTATGATGAGTATTTTTTACTATATTAATAGTAATCTTAATCGAAATGGGCTAGATAAAAAATCAATAACTCATTCAATGCTAACCGTAATAGCGCCCCTGGTCAATCAAAACCTGAATGTTAAATTTAATATATTGTTTTCAATTTGGTCACTAATGTGCCTGGTACTATCATATTGTTTTACCAGCAATATATTATATACAATATTTCATCATGAATTGAGTTGTATTAACTCATTGAATGATCTAGTTGATTCTAGAATGAGTGTGGTCATTCCACAGGATTCATGGATAGTGCAATCATTAAGAAATGGAATTGTACCAGATCCATATATTAAAATATTGAATGATACAAACAGGATAATTAATGGTGATGCACATAAAAATGATGTAAGTATATTTATTTATAAGAGTATCACGATATAATTTGTATATTAATTTCACACTTGTTCATTTAAGTCTATAAAGCAAAATATTTTGGATAGAAAAATGACATTCATTAGGGAGGGCTATAATGTTCGTATGGAAAAATATGGCAACCTTATTTATAATTTTCAGATAGCCAAGGAACAATATTACCCAATATATGTAACGGTACCAGTTAGAAAGTCAAATGATACTGATGCGAATATAATTTATTTGATGAAAATGTAAGTTAAAATACATATAAAATATAATAAATTTTAATTTATATATAAATTTACAGTTTAATAAAATTATCGGAAACTGGTATTAATTATCACGACGACAATATGTACAATGTCTATATTAATTTGCTTGGACATAGGGAGCTGGATAAACATTTCAAACTTGATGATATATTAGCAAAGAATTATTTAATCTACGTAATTTATGGATATAAAAATTTATGAACATTATTTTTGGAGTTAAAATTCAAAGGTTAATCATTTAAATATATTTGAATAAATAAATAAAATACCTTGGTGCTTATCATGACAAGTCCTTTAATTTATATATAAATTTACAGTTTAATGAAATTATCGGAAACTGGTATTAATTATCACGACGACAATATGTACAATGTCTATATTAATTTGCTTGGACATAGGGAGCTGGATAAACATTTCAAACTTGATGATATATTAGCAAAGAATTATTTAAAATTAAACAATAATGATAGGGTGATTGAAATACATTATATCAAAGATTTATTCTTATCACTAGGAGTTTTAAATAGTTTAACTATTATAGTTTTCATATTGGAAATAATTAAATTTTCCATATTTTCTAATTAATTCATTGAATAAATATCTTTTACAATGTACCCCGGTATGACAACATAATGCACTTTATAATATAATGTTTACAAGGCAAATAAAATGTTGACAAATGAAGTACAGTAGTTTATTTGTATTTTATACTAATAATCTCTAATTTTAATTCAAAATATCAACGAATAATCAAAATATTCATAACTAAAATAATAAAATTTGTATTATTCTAAGTTATTCATTATTCATTACAAAATACTAGTGTTGTAGTAAATGATAAATACTGACTATGATTTACAACGCTAGCTTGGCTCTGGAGCCAAGGTATGTTAACCTATGGTATAAACTATAAAACACAAATCAATTAAGTTACTTAATACAGTATTTATATAACAACAATAAAAATAAACATTGAATTTTACTGATATATTTAATTAAACTATTTTGAAATACAAATACAAAATGAATGATTTTGTTTGACATGGATAACTTCATAGGTAATAAATTAGCCCTTTTATTTTTCTGCTCTAGTTTTAACTTGTGATTCAATTGTGTGTCAAATGTTTTTATTATATTTAGGGATCATTCAATAAGTACGTACG